GAAGGGTAGGCAAAATAACCTTTAACCCATTCTTTTTCTCATTCCCTTTGAAGTTTTCCCACCCTCACCCTCAACTCCCCACCCCAGCAATCACAGTCTCATTTCCCTAGTTTTTTGCCTGATATATCCCTTTCTCACATTCTTTCTGATACACTCAGACTTTATTCAGTGACTTTGTAAAAAAAATTAGATGTGAGAAGTGTTTTGTTGTCCAGCTTTCACTGGCTGATTGGGAATTTTAAACTCATACCTTCAGAAATGCTACTTGAACATAAGCTCCCTCTCCCTTCCCCAGGGAAATGGAAATGCACCTCCTGAATTAAAGGACCTTACTAAAGTGCTTATAGAGTCTTCAATATTAGAAGATGAATTTGTATGTGGCAGGGTGGTAGAGGGGGTGCAGGAAGATAGGTGGGGGTGGCTGTGTGGTGGCAATCCCAGAGTGCCCCGAACTTTCGCTCATTTGTTCAACAAATAGTTACTGAAACCTGACATAGTGGTAACATGTTTTGTTCATTTACTTATCTATTTGGCATACATTTCCTGAAGGCATCCCATCTACCTGGCCCTAACGATATAATAGTAGGCAGAAACCAGACATTGTCCTTGCCCTCATGGAGCTCACAATCTAGTGTTAATCCAATCATCAATAGACAAATCACAAATATACAATCGCTAATGTACCAAGCGAGTCAAGAGAGAGGTGCCTGGTTGATGGTTAAGAGAACAAAACAGAGGATCTGAGAACAAAGGAGGCAAAAGAAACAGTCGGGGAGACCAGTCGGAAGCTTGATGCAGCTAAACTGACAAAAAGTGGTAGCTTGGGCTAGAGTTGGAGCACTTGAGCTGGAGAAATAGACTGCTTGAGATGACCCATATGTCCTCGTCAGGTCTCTCTTCTCTCAGGGGACAGAAGAAAGGCAAACCAAGACCAAATTTTTCTACAAGTGGCTCTGAGGATAACTTCTTACTCTAAACTCAGAAGCAGAGGGATTTCGTGTGTGTGTGTGTGTGTGTGTGTGTGTGTGCGTGTGCGCGCTGTGTACACCATTCACTGAAGCCCTACTATGTGCTAGGACCAACACTGTCAACATTTAAACTTCACAACCCTGTGTCGTCGATGTCATTCCAGTTTCCCAGATGAATCTTGGGAAATATAGGAGATTTGTTGAAAGTCACAGAGTTGCGTTAGAGTTGGAGCCCAGGTTTAGCAGTATTCAAAGACTAGTTCGCTTACTATTCCTTCCTCTAGTTTTCACTTCTGCAGCTATAAGAAAGGACTCTTGAGCCTCCTTGGGCAGAAAGAATAACGGAACCCTGCAGCTACAATACTTTCTTCAGCCCAGAACTAGAAAGCGAGAGCTTTGTTTCCCGACGGAAGTGGAGGGAACCACCCCCCCCCCCCCCCCCCCCGAAGGAGACCCCCCACCCCCCCCCCCGCCCCCGCGCGCGAGACCCGGAAGTTGCGCGTCGCATCCTCGCACCGGCCTCCCTGGCCGCCGGGTGAAGCTGCGGCGGACTGCCCTTTCTCAAGATGGCGTCGAAGATGGGTTCGCGACGGTGGATGTTGCAGCTGATCATGCAGTTGGGTTCTGTGTTGCTCACACGCTGCCCCTTCTGGGGCTGCTTCAGCCAGCTCATGCTGTATGCTGAGAGGGCCGAGGCACGCCGGTGAGCGGGTCCGTGCGGTCGCCGAACGCGGTGGGGGCGGTCCGGCCCGTCCCAGGAACGGGGGTGCGGTGAGGTGGGGAAGAAGTTGCGGCCTAGAAGTTGGGACCTTTGGACTGGGAGGAACTGGGACCTCGGACTTGTTAGGGACTCTGGTCCGGAGTATGGTGGGCATCGAGCGTAGTGCGGGGGTCCTAGCTATGAGAGGGGGCTCAGGTTTGGAGAAGCAGTGGAGCTTAAGGAAACCCGAGGGGTCTCAAGGCTCTTCTTCCCGCCTTATCCTGTGCTTCACTCTGTCCTCGTTCCTCCCCCCTTCCCTACTCGCAGGAAGCCCGACATCCCAGTACCCTACCTGTACTTCGACATGGGGGCGGCCGTGCTGTGCGCTAGCTTCATGTCCTTTGGAGTGAAGCGGCGCTGGTTCGCGCTGGGGGCCGCACTCCAGCTTGCCATTAGCACCTATGCCGCCTACGTCGGGGGCTACGTCCACTACGGGGACTGGCTGAAGGTGAGCACCTCGCCCCTGGGCGGGACTTGGCTGTAGTGCCGGGGGAGCCGGTGCCTGGGTCAGCTGGACATTGCCTGGTACTAGCCAGGAGCACAGTGCGAAGCCTGGGAAGCTTGAACCCCTTGGTTTGTAGCGGTTATTACAGACCACAGGAATGGAAGGACCTTAGAGACCAGCAAACCTCCCCCTCAGAGTGCAGAAATTGAGGTCCAGAGATGGGAAACAGACTTTCCCAAAATTACACCACAGTTAGCGTTACAGGTGGGACCAGAACCCAGGTCACGTGGTTCCCAGAACTCTACACCGTTAGTTTAGTTAACAGAACCAGGGCGAAAGGAACTTTAAGAGAGTACCTAGTCCACCCATCAGATTTTATGAAATTTATCTAATCAGAGGGCAGCCTTTAACCCTGTAGATTCCAGGACCTGTGCCAGGCACTACAGGCTTGGAGATGAGCCTGGACCGAGGCATTACCCGCAGGGAATGGACTGGGAGTCAATTAAGGAAGGCAGGTGTGAGAATAGCTACTGGACAGTGAGATCATTGGTTAGTTTGGGGAACAGAGTATACCCTATGGAAGAAAGAATATTGAATTTTGAATGTGCAGACCTGAGGATGGGGAGAGGGGCAATGCTTGGTATCTGGGTTCTGCCACTTTGTATAGGACCTTGGACAAGTTTATTACTCCTCTGGGCCTCAATTTCCACTTCTGATAAAAAGAATTATCTTTTTCTGCTCTATCTGCCCATGGTAATGGTAAGAGGATTCATCAGATGAACCGGGATGTGTAGAGATGGGCAGTTATGTACTTGGGGCAGCCAGGAGAAGTGCAATGGTTTCAGTTTCTGATCAGGGTCCCCTCGCCTTGGCCTAGGTCCGTATGTACTCACGCACAGTTGCCATCATCGGTGGCTTTCTTGTGCTGGCCAGCGGTGCTGGGGAGCTGTACCGTCGGAAACCCCGCAGCCGTTCCCTTCAGTCCACCGGCCAGGTCTTCCTGGGCATCTACCTCGTCTGTGTGGTAGGTTGGGGGATTGTCGACTGGAGGTGCTTTACTGAGAGTGAGGTGTGAACCGATGCCTGGTGCCTGGCAGAACCCAGGGAGGTGGGCAGAATGAGGCTTGCATGTAGTTTCTGAGGGCTTAACTCCCAGCAGTTGCCCCCTCCAGCTTCTGGGCCTTGGGGGACTTTCAAGTGCCTGAGACCTGGCTGACAGTCCCTTCTTCCAACGTTATTGCCACCAGGGGAGAGAAGAGGGTGGATTAACCATTCAGTCCCAAGCCTGAGAGCCAGGAGGACAAGAGGGCCTCTTGGCTTCACCCCCCAGAGGACAGAGAGGGGACAAAGAAGAGGTTTGGTAGAGTTAGGTCCCACCTGGGGTTCTGCCACTTAGAGCTGATGGGGCTGCCTGGCAGAGCCAGTTACATCTTCCCTGGTACTGGGATTGGGGCCAATGTGGAAGGGAATGTCAGTGGGCCCCAAGTCACTTAGCTTCGTCTTAGATACAGAATACCATCTCCCATGTGCAGAGCTCTGTATTCAGAGGTGACAGCCCCAGTCTGATTGTGGACCCTCTTTCCTTCTGAGCCCCCAGGGTCAGGAGAGACAGAGACCCTGACCTCACGGAGCTCCCTCGTCCGAGGGGAGACACAGGCCTTACTTTCAGAAAGCCCCAGGTCTGAGAGGGGAGTCCACAGCCCACCTGGTAGGGGCTGTCTTGCATCTCAGGGGTGGCCTTCCCAGAATAGGCTTCTCAGCCTATTCAGAGCCTCAGAGGACGTTGTGTCTCTAGGCCTACTCGCTGCAGCACAGCAAGGAGGACCGGCTGGCGTATCTGAACCATCTCCCTGGTGGGGAGCTGATGGTCCAGCTCTTCTTCGTGCTCTATGGCGTCCTGGCCCTGGCCTTCCTGTCGGGCTACTACGTGACTCTGGCTGCCCAGATCTTGGCTGTCCTGCTGCCCCCGGTCATGCTGCTCATTGACGGCAATGTGGCCTACTGGCACAACACACGACGCGTTGAGTTCTGGAACCAGATGAAGCTCCTTGGAGAGAGTGTGGGCATCTTCGGGGCTGCTATCATCTTGGCCACTGACGGCTGAGTTGCGCAGCGGGAGTCTGAGAATGGGTGCAGGGAGCCACTGAAGGCCACCCTCCATTCCTCCTTGCTGGCCCAGTTATGTTTATTTATGCGTTTTGGTCTGTTTGTTTGATCCTTTGTGTTATGTGCATGTGTGTGTATGTTGGCAAGAGGCAGGTCTCTTCTCCAGTTCCTGGGCTCAGGCCTTGGTGGGGTGGGAGCCCTGATGACTCTGCCCTATGGGTTTCTTTTTCCTGTTTGTTCTGAGGAGAGCTGAGGCCAGCTGTTCTCCTGGGTCTCCTGTCCCAGGAAACGGAGTAAGGCAGGGCTATGGGGGTGGGGGGTGAGGGTGGGGGACACTGAGAGTGGGAGACAGAGGGAGGAAGACCAAGAATCAGAAGTGAGCCAGTGTGAAAGATCCCGCTTTGAGCCTGGCAGATGCAGCTAGGCTCTGCAGTGCTTTTCTGAGACTGAGACTGAGTGTGTGTATTGACACATGGATCAGGCCCAGGTGGAATAGAGGGGCTGGGCATTGCAGAAGTCATGGGCTCTCAGGGTGTGCCAGGAGCAGACACGGCACTAGCTGTCACCCACCTCGAGGGCAGAGCAGGCCCCAGTCTACTCTGGAGTGTGCAGGGGTGGGGCAGGCAGTGGCCAGCTTTCTGCCTCTGGCCTTCTGTTGGCAGCTCCGTGGTTGGCCTGCTGTGGGTGAGTGCCTTCCCAAACACCAGACCACACAGTCCTCCAGAATTAAACATTTTATATAGACGTTTGGCTTTGCTTCTCTGTTCTCCCCACGGGGCACTTTGCCACTGGCTGGGATTGATCTTGGGTTTCTTGAAAGCCCATACCTGGGTAAGCCCCACCTTGACCCGCCCGTGACCTTTCCCCTGTCCTGGGGCTCTCTTTCCAAGTCTGCAAAGGCTCCCTGCAGTACATGCTTTGACCTTTCACTCAGTCCCCCTTGTGGCTTGTCTTTTCCTCCCCATTTGGTGCCAGCTCTTTTCAGAGAAATCTTTGGCGAGGGCAGCTAGAGGGAGAGGACTGATTAAGGGTCCACTCTGAAGCCGAGGAACTTTCATTTCACAGGTGAGGAAATGGAGGCTCAGAGAAGGTTGAGCCCCTAGCCTGAAGCCACAGAACTGGATTCCAGGCCAGGTCTGCCTAAAGCACACACCCAGTTGTGTACTTGATGCCACCCCTCTCCTCAGGGAAGACAGGCTGCTCTGGGGGGGTTGGTCTCTCAACAGCCCCTGGTCCCTCCCTACCCATCCACACACCTCCTGACAGAAGGTAGCCTCAGCAGCCAGTGTGGAGCCTGGCACATCGTAGGGGTCAGAAATGTCAAATGCAACCACAGGCTTTGGACTCTCGCCTGTCTGAGATGTCCTGCTCCTGCAAAGATGGAGACACAACCTCCAGGGGGACCAAGGGGAAGACCTCCGAGTCTGGCCTTGGCTCTGAGCCCTGCCTGGCAAGGGAGATGGGGCTGCTGTCAGTCCGGTTTGTGGAATGGAAGATGTTTCCTAACTAAGGGGTAGGGAAGCCCCTCCGGGGGCTGCTGACAGTTGGCTGAGGGAGATAGTGGCAGCATTTGTCTCTGGGCCTCGGCCTCAGTTAGCTCCCCTCTTCCCTCTAGGAGCCCCCTGGTTCCCCAGCCCTCAAGATGGTGCTCCCAGAGGGTCAGTGCTAATTTCCTTTCAAGTGTGTGCTGACTTTCAGACAAGTACTTGCATTTTAATCAAGGCCTCCTGAGAAGTTGCAAGACCCGAAGGAATTAAAATGAATTGTGGAATATAAGGCAGATGTGGGTGATATTTTGAGCAAGGAAGCCTCAAAACAGCACAGTGGTCAAAGACACTGGTCCACCCTCAGCCTTGAGTAGAGCCCTTAAAGGCAAGGGCACCCTCCTCCCTCCAGATTTCCTAGACTGAAAATTCCGGGCCATCTGGTTGTGGCTTTGGAGCAAGTAGGGGTCTTGGGCAGGCCCTTTTCCTTCCTGTCCTCCCTTGGGTGCCCTTCTCTGGGCAGGTGGAGTAACAGCTGCTGCTGCTTCTGCAGTTCACTCAGCCAGCATGTCTGATCCGGCCTGTGGCTGCCTTGGGTCTCCTCCAGCAGGCTTGGCCTTTAGTCCACACTGGCTGTCCCAGGGCCTGAAGGGCTGGTAGAGAGGGTCAGCTGCCTGGGTCAGAAGCTGGCTTGCAGAAGGAGTCTGGTAGCCCCTTGGCATGGTTGACCAGCTCATAAGAGTCCCGAATATCGGCCAGGCCAAACCAGAAGAAGATCCACTGCTTGTTGGAGAAGCTGCCGTCGCTGTGTTTGAAGTACCTGGTGGGGTCGGGAGATAGGTTTTAGGCAAGGCCAGGGCTCACTACTCACTGGTTCATTTATTGAGGACCTACTATCAGCATACCACCTTTTGTGTTTCACTAAGGTGGCGCTAGTGGTAAAGAACCTGCCTGCGAGTGCTGGAGACATAAGAGACCTGGGTTCAATCCCTGGGTCTGGAGGATCCCCTGGAGGAGGGTATGGCAACCCACTCCAGTATTCCTGCTTGGAGAATCCTAAGGACAGATCCTGGCTACCGTCCGTAGGGTTGCAAAGAGACATGACTGAAGTGACTTGGCACGTTGTGCTTTGCAGATAACTATGTTTTTTGCAAATTGAATGTTTGCAGAAACCCTGTGTGGAGCAAGTCTATCGGTGTCATTTTTCCAACAGAGGTTTGCTCACTCACTTCATGTCTCTCTGTTGCATTTTGGTAATTCTTGAAATATTTCAAACCCTCCACCAGCAAAAAGATGACTGCTTACTCAAGGCTCAAGTGATGGTTAGCAGTTTTTAGCAATAAAACTATTTTAAATTTGAGTATGTACATTTTTTTTTTTAGACATAATGCTATTTCACACTTAACAGGCTACAAAATAGTGTAAACACTCATACATACCAGGAAACCAAAAAATCTATGTGATTTGCTTCATTGCAATATTCACTTTATAGTGGCGGTCTGGAACCAAACTGGTAATATCTCTGGGGTATGCGTGTATATGCTGAACACACTGCTAGGACCTGAGGTTTGTAATTTGATTTTATTCTCATAGCACCAGTCAATAGCCTGGTACGCTCTTTTCACAGAGGAGCAGCCAAGGCTCAGAGAAGTTAGATAACTAGCCAGAGTCACACAACTAGGAGGGTTAGCGTGAGGCCGCCTTTTCCTCTCTCCACACTGCCTTGGCTGTGCAGCCCGGGGAGGGGTCCTTGTTCTGTCCTTGGTGCCCGCAGAGCAGAGTAGTAAGGGAATGAGGGGATAACTGCAGAAGGAAAGACAGGAGGGGGTGTCCCACTGGAGATGCAATGGGGTCAGAGCTCTGGGGTCAGAGCTTGGCAGCTGGGCCTGGACTAAAATGGTAAGGGGCTGAATTTGTCCAGACCCTGGGAGAGGCAGGCTGTGTGCCCGGTGCAGACTGTCTTCAAGGCATCTACCTTAAGAGGACAAAGCAGAGTTAAGTGTGCTCTGCCTCTAGGGAAGTCTCAGGCTCCATGTGTGGTCTGCTCCCTGGGGAATGTGGGGCCCGCACTGAGCGGGCCATCTCTCATGGGGGAAGGGTGGCTAATGAAAGGGGAGGCCCAACCTTCCAGGCTAGTGGATCCCCGGCATGGCTGGTGAGAACTGGAGAGGGGCGCCAGAAAGGTCGTACGTACCAGGGATTGATGGGGTTGGTGACCCGGGAGCGCCAGAAAAGCGTCTTCAGATCCCGCCGCAGGCACGCCCACAGCATCTGGCCGGAGCCTTGGCCCTGGCGGCTGGAGCTCACCACAAACTTGTCTAGATACGGGGTGCCCCCCAGTACCGGCTCCGTGGTCAGAATGGCTGCCGCGTTGTACCTGGCGCAGCGGGGGAGAGGCAGGCTGGGACCTCTTCTTGACCCAAAGCTCTCCGGCGTGTCCCGTGGCCCCTGCCCTCTGGGGCCTCAGGCTCACCCCTCAGAGAAGTAGATAGAGTGCAGCCTTGGGCGCAACGAGGCCAAATAGTCGTCCCGGAGCTTTTTGCCGAAGCTGGCGTTGACCAGGTTCACAAGGCGGCCCTGGTCCAGGCTGTCCAGGCAGCGCACTCGCAGCGTCCGCTCGCCGGTCTTGAACAGCGTCCCCGAACCTGGGGGTGGGACGAAGGAGGAGGGGTTCGTTCAGTCCGAGATCCAGGTCCCCTCCATTCCTACGTTTGCGAAGCCTGGTGGAGGTTCCAGACAGGAAGATGGCTGGTGGGACAATTACCTTCTTGGGAGCGCTCCACAATGAGATGCTTCCTACGGTCTGCATAGACTTGTCTGTGCTTTTCACTCAGGGAGATGCTTTTCCTAGGCAGTTCGTCCCTCGAGTTCCCCCCCTCACCTGTGGTTCCACCTACTTCCCCTAGTCCCGACCATCCCAGCCCACCTGGCTCCTGGCCCCGCCCACTTCTCCTGTGCTGTGCTTGTCCGACACTTTGTGACCCCTTGGAGGTAGCCCGCCAGGCTCTTCTGTACATGGGGATTCTCCAGGCAAGAATACTGGAATAGGTTGCCATGCCCTCTCCAGGGGATCTTCCGAACCCAGGTCTCCCGCATTGCAGGCGGATTCTTTACCGTCTGAGCCACCAGGGAAGCCGAGAGTATAGGATTGGGTAGCCTATCCCTTCTGCAGGGGATCTTCCCGACCGAGGAATCGAACCGGGGTCTCCTGCCTTGCAGGCAGATTCTTTACCAGCTGAGCTACCCATTCCACTGGGGTCCGCTGGGTCTGTGGTTCCTCCCACCCAGCCAAGTCCCACCCACTTCCCTAGTTCCACCCAAGTTGCAGCCCAGGCCGGTCCACCTCCTTGCAAACCTCCCCTAGGTTTGGCAAGGGCAGGAAGCCTTTACTGTGGCTTCTCCTGCCACACCCCCGCCCCCCGCCCCAACGCCAAACACCGGCGCGCCCCTGCCCTCGCCCTCACCCCTGTTGCTGAAGAGCTCTGTGAGCAACATGCTGGCGGCGGTGATGACGGCGGAGGAGTGATGGGGCAGGCGACTGAGTATGTCCACGATGAGCCGAATCTGCTGGCGTTCTTTAGTGCTCACCCAGTCAGCGTTGGTCACCAGGTCCAGGTCGGCGGGCAGGTTCACGTTACTCAGGACCTGTGTCCCGGACTAGGGGGTGAGCCTCCGACCTGCAGCCGCACTAGGACTGCGTCCCCGCCCTACGGACCTCTTCTCACTTAACCCCTTTTCCCTTACTTCCTCCCGGAGTCCTCTGCCAGGGAGGGCTCAGATCTGAACACCGTAGGCTGAATCCCTCCCTGACACTCGATTCCCGACCCATGCGGCTTCGGAGAGACTGACTCTGGGGTCCATAAGGGAGGCATGCAGGAGCCCCAAGAGAGATGCTCAGCGGAGGTGCGGAGGCGCAGGGACTGGAGCCCGAAAGGAGGAGACACACCTTGTGACTGCCGTCGTGCAGGCCGCCTGTGGTGTTGAGGAAGATGATTTTGGTGGGCCGCAGCGCCTTAGCCAGAGACGCGGTCACCTCCAGCGAGTCCAGGAGCACCGAGCGGCGCGCGGCTGTCTCCCCAATGGGACACAGGATGGGGATGCTTCCGGACTCCAGGCACCACTGGAGCAGATCGGTCTCCACGGAGACGATGCCGCCGTAGCTGTGGGCCAGAAGCGGGGCTCAAGGAGATCGCCTCCAGGCCCCGCGGGGCTGGGGCTGCGGGGCTGAGCGGCGTGATCCGAGGACTCTGGGACAGGCAAGGTCGGCACTCACCTGGCGTGAGGGGCTGGCTCAGCAGCGCTCAGCACAGACCCACCGCCAAAAAAAGGCACGGCGGCGGCCGCATTGTGCCGCAGGGCGTCCACCAACACCTTGCATCTCTGGGCGAGCTGTGCCTTGGCCTCCCAGAAGGAAAGACAGCCCGAGGGCGCCGTGGGAGCAGGCAGCCCTAAGACCACCAACGGCTTCATGTCCATGCGCTGCAGGAAGGCCAGGGCGAAGGCCAGGCTGGTTACGGCCTTCGGGCACTTGACCACCTCCTCCTCCACCTGCGGAGGCATGGGCGTTCAGGGGGCACGTCGCCCACCCTGACTCCTTCCTCACTCGCTTGTTCCTCCAGCCTGGCCCTCAGGGTCCCCTCTGGGGGGGGGGGTCCCCATCCTGCCCAGGAGTTATCAGACCCCATTTCTGGTCACCTGCGCCCACCTGCTCTGCCCTTTGCCCCGTTGGGTCTTGCCATCATCCTCTTATCTCTCAGTAGCGTTCCTCTTTCGGCTCCTCCCTGCGACCTTGGACTCTAGGACACCTTAGGGGGAGGGGTGACGCAGGCGGCTTCTCTCCAGGTTCCCCAATGGCCAACTGATCCCCTAACTGTGCCTAGGGTGGGAGGACTACTCTGGCACATCATATTCCACGGGCTGGAGACCCCAGACTCCTCACCCGGGCTGGGAGCCAGGCTTTTCGAGGGCCTCGGCCTCTCCCAGTCCCGGGCGCTCGTTAGGGCTCCGTTGATCCCCCTCCTGGTTCCCCTCCCCAGTCGACAGCCCGTCCTGCCAGGCCCGGCGACACATCGGCACACGGCCCCCACCCCGGGTCTGTAACCCAGCCCGACGCCGGGCTCGGCTCACCTCGATGACGGCGAAGGGCCTGTCGGCGGAGTGATGGCAGGCCTGGAACTGTGTGAGCCAGTGGCGCGCCTCCCCGGGACTGGCCCCACACTGGTTCAGGAAGGTCTGGATGTCTCGCTGCAGCGGCGAGCGGCCAGCGGGGGGCCCCGGGGAATCGGGGGGCACCGGAGGCGCGGGGGGCGGCGTCCACAACGGCTCCTCCGCTGCAGACGGATGGACGTCGTCCTTGGCTCCTTCGGCCTCCTCTTGGGCTAGCTGGGCCGGCCCCCAAGCTGTACTGAGCCGGCGTCCCGGGCTGGTACCCCTGGTCGCCTGCCGCCGTGCGCCGCAGCTCAGCCTCCGGGCGCTCCCGGTGCCTCGGGGGCCCCGGAGCCTCCCGCCCGCAGGCGCGGCCCACAGGGCCCAGGCCAGCCGCACCGTCGCCATGACAACCAGACCGGATCGCCCCCCCACAAGTGACCGTCTGTCAGGAGCTCCGGCCTTTAGGAGCCTCTTAACCTGCAGCGGGGCGGGGCTGGGCCGTCCGGGGCGGTACGACGACGGGGTTGGGAGGGGGGGCGGGGCGCGGGTCTGGCCATGGGTCAGAGGGCGGCGCTGACAGTATTCCCCGCCCCTTCTGGGGGGGGTGTGTGTGTGTGACGGAACCCACTAGCGAGAGTCACGAGGCCAAGATAAAGGGTGGCTGCATGTCTAATCTACTGCCAAGGCCCGTTTCAGAAGGGCTCAGGGGCCCCAAAGGTGGCTCTGGCGCTCTGCGGGGTCTTGAACAATCAAGGAGGAGTCTGACTAGGGCAAAGAGGGCAGAGCAGCCGCCTGAGCAAGGAAGGAGGCTTATGGAGGTTACCAGGGTTTGCCAAACCCCAGCCACTGGGTGCCACCTTGAAGAATTTTGTCTTTGGGGAAATTTAAAATTTATCTACATCAGGACTGTAACTAGAAGGCCGATGTCACTTGTAAGAAAGCCTTACAAATAGAGAGGTTTAAAAATCTTATATATTCCAGTTGGATAGTGTTGACTGCTTCTGTTGGAAACAAAGATGGCTAGGAAGTGCCAGGTGGTCGAGATCCCATAGCAAGCTTGAGGCTTCTTCCTTGGTAGAACAGCTGCTGACACTAGCAGAACATCAGGTCCTTGCACAGCACTTCACAAATAGTAACTCACTGAAGCCTTACAATGACTCCAGAATGGACACTCTTATTACCCCCATTTTATAGATGAGGAGACTGAGGCACAGAAATATGTGAGGGCCAAGGTCACTCAGTTCATGAGCAGTGGAGCTGGTCTTTGAGGCAAAGCAGTTTTGTTCCTGATTCATGTTATTAAGCAAGATGTGCAAAGGACTTGAAAACTTTCATAGGATATGATTAATTATTGCTTAATACCGTATACGTGTGCTGCTTAAAAACACCCAGTGCGCAATCAGGGGTACACAACCTGCCCTTGGGTACACTATGCTCTGATGGGGTCCCACCCTCTGTCCTTATGGAGGGTGAAACCAACTGCAGAGGGGCGACGAAATGGCTGAGGTCACACAGCTTGTTAGTGTCACGGCCAGACCCTTGGCGTACGGAGGTCCCCCCACTCCACCCTCACATAGCTCTGTGTGGAAGTTAGGACTCCTGGGGCTCTGCCTGCATGGGGAGCATAGTCTGGGTTCTTCTCTCCTGAGTACCACAGAGGATGCCGGGTGAGCGCACCGACCCTTCCTGGGCCTCCCCTATCAAAAGACACGTTCCTATGAACAGGTGCACGCTACACAAGCAGTCACACACGCACACAGCACAATGCATGCACGTAGTGTCCTGGGCAGGAGACTCCTGGCAGCAGGAGACGGGAGCTGACCTCTGTGATCTCCGCTGAATTTTCCATTTTCCTGCTTTGAAATCCTGCATTCCAACAGAGAGTGAAGCAATGAGAGGGAGGGTTTGTACACCTTGCCCTGTGGGGCCACCTCCAGGGCGGCCTTTCTCTTCTCTCTTTATTGCTGCCCCCCTCCCAGAATCCACTGGGGCATCTTGATTTTCCTTTTTCTGCTCTCAGAGAGCCGCCCCCCTCCCCCCGCCAAATGTGCTTTCCCTTCCTGGTTTCTCCATCCAAGCCCCCCCTCAGAGTGCCCACCCTCCGCAACCCCTCCCTACTCGGTTTCCCGCTCCTGGGTCTCTCCCGCCTTTGCTGCTCTGGATCCCTGCCTCTGTCCTGGCCCCTCGTCAGTTCTTCCAGGTCCTTTCCCCACTGCTGCAGTTGAGTCCTGCCTCTTGCCAACTCGGGGCCCCTGTGAGGGCAAGGACGACCTCTCTTCTCAGACTGGGCTCCCTGAGGGTAGGGTTGATGTCTCCCTCCTCAGCTGGGGGGCTTCCCGAGGGCCCACCAGGCCCAGTAGCCAAGAGCATCCACCCCATTTCCCCTGGCCGGTGGGGCTGACGCTGGCTGAGGATCTCCTTCCCTCTCCTTGGGCTTCAGGCCAGAGGGCTGTGTCCGCAGACAGCCAATGGGACCCAGGGATACCCCAAGTAGATGATTAACTCCAGGCCAGATAACCCTGGGGCCACTATCCCTGGGGCAGGCCAGCCTATGGTTGGGAACTGACCCTGCCTTCTGGAGGAGACATCTGTGGGTGTGTGGGGTCAGCACCCTCTCCTAACCCACCCCTCTGACCTGAAGGCCTGCAGGAGCACTGTTAGTCTATGGTCCCAGCTTAAATTTTGTTTTTCCCTCTGGAGCTGGCTGAGGTTTCATTTTTCAGAGCAAGACCTGTTGTCAGTGGGCTCAGAATTGGGATCCTACCTTTTTTTTATTTTAAAAAGATTTATTTATTTGACTGCGTCAGGTCTTACTTGCAGCACATAGGGTCTCTGTTGTATCATGTGGGAGCCTTTGTTGTGGCATTGTGGCATGGGGACTCAGTAGTTGCAGCAAGCTACACTCAGTTGCCGCGAGACATGTGGGATCTTAGTTCCCTGCCCAGGGATCCAACCTGCATCCCCTGCAATTCAAGGTGGATTCTTAACTACTAGACCATCAGGGAAGTCCCAGGGCACTTATCAGGTCTTGGGTCCTCAAGATGCTGGGAGCAGACACAACCTTCCAACGCCCCCAGACGCCTCCCCTCAGCAGGGGCCTCGGCCCTGGGCACAGGGGCAGGTTTGAAGGGTCAAGGTTTTCCCTCCCATTAGAAGCCTCCTTGGCTGCCCCTTAGTATTAGTGGACACTGAGGTAACAGGAATCTGGGCAGGTGAGGGGCCAGGGTTTATAGCTGACAGTCTCAATCATAGCACAGGAAGAAACACACACACAGATACACAGATCAGACAAAAGCAGAGACCCACACCATCCATTAAGATGCACACAGATGTGCAGAGACACAGCATACATAACCTGGAGACTCCCAGCATCTGTAGTCTCACAGACGCACATGTGCACATGGAGAGATACACAAGTGTAGACACACAGATGTACAGAGAGAAACAGTTCTGCTCAGACACACATTTGCATATTTGCAGAGACTTTCTCAGCAACTGTCATACATAGAAACACATGCACATATATGTACTGAGGTACTGAGAGCATATAGGTATACACCCAATTGTAGTCATGGACAATTTCAGGGATATGTAGATCTGGAGATTCAAATGTACACAGACTTGTGCACACACACATGCACACACACACACACATACAACATCCAGAGTTAGAAGCCCAACCCACTCCTCCATGAGACCACACCCATCTACCCATGTACGGAGGCAAACAGCCACACTCTTTCACATGCCATGATGGCACCTGGCATGTGAGAAGTGTCCAGCAACTATTTATTGGATGAATTAATGGAGAGAGAACAGAGAGAAAGAAGCAGAGGCTGTGTGAGACTTCCCTGGCGGTCCAGTGGTTAAGGATTCCTTGCTTCCAATGCAGGGGATGCAGATCTCATCCTGGCCAGAGAACTAAGATCCCACAGGCCTTGTAGTGTGGCAAAAAATAAAAATAAAAAGCAGAGCCCGTGGCAAGGAAAGGTTGACTTCATGGTTTGCTGGGTCTGTGGAATCTGTGTTCACAGACTGCCCTGAGGCAGCCCTCTTCACTGTTCAGTACGTGCCTGGTACTGAACTAGGTGCTCTGAGAATGAGGTTCCATTTTTTTTTTTTTCTGGATGGAAGACAGGAGGCCTGGGCTCTGCCAGTTCTTTGGTTATAGAGGTTTGGGCAAGGCATGTATTCTCTGAGCCTCAGTTTTCTCACCTGTAGAATGGGGGAAAGATCATGAAACTTGATCTCATTGCATCATGCTGAAGATGTAAAGCTCTCAGTGCAGCCAGCCAATTCCTGGCAAATTTTGTAGGATAAACAACCTGGTTTGTTCAACAAATTTCAAGGAAAAGAGGAGGAAGGGAAAGGATGAACATATAAGTAAAAAGATGTATTTTGAAAGTCCCTTTTTCATCCTTATTTGGATTCCTTTTTTAAAAAATTGAAGTATATAGTTGATTTGCAATGTTGTGTTAATTTCTGCTGTACAGGTAAGTGATTTAGTTATAGGTGTGTGTGTGTGTTTGTGTGTTAGTCACTCAATCATGTCCAACTCTTTGTGACCCCATGGACTGTAGCCTGCCAGTCTTCTCTGTCCATGGAATTCTCCAGGCAAGAATACTGGAGTAGGTAGCCATATATATATTCTTTTTCATATTCTTTTCTATTCTGGTTTATCATAAGGTATCGAATATAGTTCCTTGTGCTATACAATAGGACCTTGTTGTTTCTTATTTGGATTCTGATTCAAACAAACAGTAAGCAGTTTGACAATCAGGGAAATTGGAGCATAAAAGATATTTGGTATATTAATTTTTAGGTGTGATATGATTGTTCATTAATGTTTTTAAATTGTTCCATGTTTTTTAGTGTACATATGGGATATTTATAAATAAAATGATAAGATGCCTTAAATTTGCTTCAAAAAAGCCAGGAGAACGGAAAGTGGGGTGGAGGAACAAAGCCACAAGACTGACCATGAGTTAGAAGCTGATACTTGTTGAATCTGGGTGATGGCTACAGGGGATTCACTATACAATCTCAACTTTTATGAATGCTTGGACATTTGCAAAATATAAGATTCAGTGAATTCCCATATGTGTATGTTCCCAGTTTGACATAATGTAAACACTTAATAAAAACTAGTTTTCTCCTCCCAAGCAGTTTTCCTCCAAGGCATAAATATGTGAAAAACTAAATACTCCACAAATACATAGTACAAGGTGGAGGAAATCTGCAGATTTATGGATTTAAGATTTTCAGTTCTAAGTGTGTCATGAGCCTCTTGTCCAGCAGGGGGCTCTCTACTCTCTGCCTCTCTCACCCTGCTCTCCTGGGGATTTGTTAAAAGGAATAAACTCTCCGCAGTTTAAGAAAGATGAGGCTGGCATGCAGATATGTTA